CGGCGTATGGTGAGTGGCCGGGACGGATCAATCGGAAGGCGGGTATAAGTTTCCGCCGTTGTGGTCCGCCGGTACCGAGGTTAGCTGTCGTGGTCAGTTTCGAATTGCGGCGATGTCAGTGACAGCTGTGCTCGAGGGCCGCGTATTGAACGCGCGCGTATACGTTCGCGTCCAGTCAGACTCCTTTATACCTACTTACCTTGCTCCTGTCTCTATCTCTCTCTCTTTCTCTTTCTCTCTCTCTCTCTCTCTCTCTCTCTTTCTTACTCTCTCGTTCTTTCTTTTGCTATCCTCTTCCCTCACGTTCCTCTTCCTTCCTTCTACCAGCTCGATTTCTTCGCCTTTACTGACCTCTCTCCCAGAGGCTCTTGCCATGGCCACCACCGACCAGTCAAATAATCGTCCGCGTAATGGACACGCGCTCATAGCGGAACCAACTGCTAATAATAAGGTCGAGAGGGTAGCCTTATTCCAACTCACATCTGCGACGATTAGGACATACCCTAACCGCGAGAGTCTACAATCACTCAAATCCCGACTCGAATCCTTCTTCCTTCTTCTCCTACTATTCTACTTTCTCCTATTCCTCCTCCTTCCAACTTCTCTATCATTCTCATTCTTGCTTTCGTTCTCTCTCCCTTCCTCTCTCTCTCTCTCTCTCTCTCTCTCTCTTTCTCTCTCTTACTCATACGTGTATTATTAGCACCACTCATCGGGTAATTCCATTCTAAAGAAACGATCATAGTAATTCTCGAGTTCGAGTTCGAATCAAGGTTTCGTTGCGCATTAGTTGCAATTAGCCGACACGTTGGCGCCTTTTCGTTTTTCTCTCTCTTTCTTTCTTTCTTTTTATACATCTTTTTTTCTCTCTCTCTCTCTCTCTTTATTTCTTTTTCACTCTTCCTCATTGTAGAAAAGGTTAAAACGAAACGTTTAAAAAATATTATACGCTTTAATTCTTAATGTAATTCGAGCGATCTACATAAAATACATCTGAAAAAATTTGTTAAAAAGATGTTACTTTTTCTTTTTTTTTTTTTTTCGAAAATCGTGTAAAAAGAATCTTTCAGGAACTTGATCCTCCGTTACATCGGGAAACCCAAAAACTTCGGGGTTCGGCTTCTTTAATTAACGTTTCTCCCATCTCTTTTTCCTTCTTCCTCTGTTACTATTATATTGCCTCTTGGAAGGAAACTCAGAGAAAGAACCTTTCTCCTTGGCAGTCTCGCGAGGAAGAAAGGAAGAGAACGAAATGACGAGAAGGAGAGATGGTAAAGGTAAGGGTAAAGAGCAAGCAAGAGATAAAGAGAGAAAGAGAGAGAAAGAGAAAGAGACTAGACTGGCTGCATGTCGGAAGGCTGTTTTACTTCCCAATTACTCGAAACACTTCGCTATCGGGGCAAGTATTAAAGGGGCTTCCAGTCGAGCTTCCATGCCCAACGTCGCTTGTATCTTCTTGCTTTCTCGTCCATGGAACTGCCCTTTTCTACGTATGTATGTGTCTATATACGCGAGGTCTCTCCGAATGTGCAGGCATCGAGAGAAAGAGAAAGAGAGAAAGAGATAGAGATAGAGATAGATAGAGAAAGAGAGAGAGAGAGAGAAAACGAGAAGGAAGACACAGGGAAACTCATGGATAACGAGAGGGAGTGAAGAGGTAGGGCGCGATATTACACGGGAGTCTAGAGTACTCGCTAGGTTAGGGACGAAGAGAGGAACCGAAGGGAATCGGTCGTTACGAGTCCTACATAGGAGAAAGAGGAGAAGTTCTGGAAGGAGGAAAAGAGTCGGAGAGTCGTCAGGACGCTTCGGGACGGCCACCCAGGGACGCTTCAAAGCAACGAGCGCCTTATCTTCGCTACACCTTCGCCTGCGAAACGCGACGGACCTATTTAGGACCCGGTTAGTGCGAGCCCGTTTCATCCTTACTCCTTACTATCCTCCCTCCCCCCCCCACCCCTCCTTAAGACCTAACTATCCCCAAACTATCTCTCTACGTTTCTCTCGTACATGGAAATTCGTTCTTTCTTCTTTCTTCTTTCTTCTTTCTTCTTTCTTCTTATAATTCCATTGATCTAGTAGAATAAACAATTACTAGCGCAAATATAATTATCTGCAACCGAATACAACCATGTCTTTTCATCAAAAGGCATAGATCCATTTTGTTCTCTCTCACTCTCTATCTTTTCTCTCTCTCTCTCTCTCTCTCTCTCTCTCTCTCATTCTGTCTGTTTGTCTTTGGCCAAGTGCCCGAGGCAGTGGTTCCATCTAAAATCAAGTGGTTCGAATGAGTAGTATAACTCCTTCGGAGTTTAATGATTGGTGATGATATACTCTTCGTGCTTTTAAAACCATTCCCAAAATGTTTATCCGTATTTCTCATTGCTACGATTACCAACGATCGATAAAATGTTTTATTTGTACGATTGAAACAAATTCCGGCGTAACGATTGAACTTATTTCTCTAGAAAAAGAAAGAGAGAGAGAGAGAGAGAGAGAG